TTTTTTTTTAATTTTTAATGTTTTATTTATTTCTGAGAGGGAGACAGCGTGAACAGGGAGGGTCAGAGAGAGAGGGAGACACAGAATCTGAAGCAGGCTCCAGGCTCTGAGCTGTCAGCACAGAGCCCGATGCGGGGCTCGAGCCCACGAACTGTGAGATCATGACCTGGGCCGAAGTCGGATGCTTAACCAACTGAGCCACCCAGGCGCCCCTTATTCTTGCTTTTATAAAATATCTCTTCCTCTGCAAAGAGTCCTTTCTGAAAATAAAACACCATTCCCAGGAGCAAGAGTAGCCTGCGTATTTCAAGATGAGAATGAAAGGGAGAAAGTAAATTATTTTGCTCCTCTAGTGCTTGCAATTATACAAGAGCAAATCGGTTTTCAGTAAACTTCAAGCTATAACCTAGGATCAGTGAATTTTAGAACAGGAATGGCTCTTAGAAATTCTTTTATTTAAAAAAAAAAAGAAATTCTTTTATTTTCAAGGTGTGGAAATTCAGGCACAGAGAGGTTAAGTGACTTAACACAGCTAACTAGTGGAAGAGCTAGGGCTGCAACCCAGGTTTGCTCATTGGGGGTCTGTTTTCCAGTGGGCTACCACCACTACTGTCTTTCTAAAACACGGATTTTATTGTATTCGTCCTATACACTGGTGTCGCATTTATCCCCCATTCCAACCTCTTTGCCTTGCCTTCATTTATTGTGAGCACTGGAAAGTAAAAGCATTGACTAAACTCCCGCCTTTTTTATAGTGAAAAATAACAATATGACAGAGTTCTGGCAAATGAGACACTGTCTAGGCAGAAGTCTCTGAGGGTAGTTTTGTTTCCTAGAAGAAAAAGGCAAGGCACCTGAAGAAAAGGTGTTTTCCACTCTGCCCTTCCTTCTTTTTCCTCTTGGGATAAAGTCTTGAGTCCTAGAAACGCAGGAACCATTTTGTGGCCAAGAAGATAAAAACCACCTGCTGAAGATGACAAAGTATGAAGAGAGGGCTTGGATCCATGGTGACCTTGGTGAGCTACTTATAGCTCTGGACTGCTTAGAAGTCTTCTTTCTCAGTGCACTATACTTGTGGCACAAGGTAATTAAACCCTTAACCCGTGTAAGGCCTTTTAAAAGTGATAGACCCAGACTTAAAAACATGCCTCCAGGGGCACCTGGGTGGCTTAGTCGGGCTAAGCATCTGACTCTTGATCTTGGCCTAGGTCATGACCTCACGGTTCATGAATTGGAGGCTTGAGTCAGGCTCTGTGCTGATGGCAGGAGCCTGCTTGGGATTCTGTCTCTCCCTCTCTCCCTGCCCCTCCTCTGCTCATGCTTGCACTCTTTCTTTCTCTCTTAAAACAAAAACAAAAACAAAAACAAAGCCACAAAAAAACCAAAACAAAACACGCCATCATGATGAAGTCCAGCCTTTTACAACCAGGCTCATGGTTGTAATTCTAGGCTAGTTCTCATTCCCATCCAATGCATATAGTACAGTCTAGATAGTTCTTGCCTCATGACATGTGTTTCACACCTGTATACCTCTGCTCATGTTCTCTCTGCCTGCAGCCCCATCTCCTCACTGTTCTCCAAAGCCCAAAATTCTTGACACCCTTACAACTAAAGGGTCCCCAGATCCTCTTAGAAGAATGGCTTTATTGTTCTTGAAAGTTTATTTCCTTGAAACATTTAAATACAGAAAAATGCATAAAAGTCAAAGAAAATCATCTCAAATCCCACCACCCAGAAATAAATATTGTTAAAGAATGTCATTTTACATGTTCTCTCTCAAGATAATCTCTCTCAAGTATCTAGAAACAATTTTACATGGGAAGATTCTGCATGCTAATTTTAAGAAAATCTATTAAATTAAGGTATACTTAAATGTAGCAGAATTAGAAAACAATGAAGTAAAGTAATTGCTTAACTTCAGCTATAATTTCTTCACGAACAGTTGCCAGTTCTTAAAAGATCCTCTCAAGTTAAGGAAAAACAAAAAAGATGGCAGAGATTGGAATTACTTTTTTTTAAATTATGCATTTCGACTTAAGAATTATTGTCAACCAGCTACTCTGAAAAAGAGGAAAATTAGTACACTTGTCTTTCTTTCCTACCCCTAGATTGTTCTAGCTACATTAGTATTTTTACACTGTTAATGCCTATAGCATTTACATTCTGCTCTTGAACCATATAAATGATTTTACCTTGGTTCTATATTTAAATGGATTCAATGTGAAGGTGACATTTTAATGTCAGGAAGAAAATGTGAAGAAAAAATGGATTACTTAAAAATATTTGGGAACAAGATAGCCAACTGGGAGGGCAGGGGGGAGAAGGTGACTTTTTACATCACTTCTCAAAAGAAGCCCAGCATAAAGAAAACCAAAAGAGGAATAGGGGGAAAAATATTTGCAAGATCTACTACAAATGAATAATAATAATTAAAAAAAAAACCCTAATGATCAGACAAATGGGCAAAGATCACAAAGAGTTCACAACAGAAGAAACCAATGGCTTTTCAACATATGAAAGATGCATCAACTTAGTTCATAATGAGACATACAAATTAAAACTACAAGTTTTTCACTGATCTGAGAGCCAAGTTGAAAATGTGTTGATCCTCATACTTTGTCAGTGGGAATATAGGTTGGTGCAACTTCTTTGGAGGATGATTTGTCAGTATCTGTTTAAATTTAAAATCTATATTCCCTCTGATTAGCAATTCCACTTCCAGAATTTTATTCTTTAGATAACCATATGCAGTACAAGATGACACGTGTACAGAAACTCACTGCAGCAGTTTGCAATAGCAAGAGATTGCAGACCCCATAAAGAAGTTGGCTAAAAAAAGTGTGGTCATTCTGAGAATGTTACGGAGCCATTCATCAGAATGAGGTACCCAAAACATACTATAAAGTAAAACAGACAATCAAGTTAGAGCAATGTTTAGAGCTAGCTCCCATTGGTGCAAAAATAAAATAAGAATATTTATTTCCATGGGCATAAAATATCTCTAGAAAAACGTGTACAAGATTCATGACAGTGGCTGCAGCCTCAGAATAGGAAGGAGATTTACTTTTCTCACTCTGTCTTCAGAAATTTGTATTACCTATTCAATATGAAGAACGTAGTCCGTACCAAGCAAAAGAAATACATAAACAATTTTGGGGCCGATTGAAATTCAGTATTTGCTGCCAGTCCTTTGACCACTTTCTTCAGTTCCTAATTTATTCTTTCCTCCTCCTTTCCCTCTTTCTTTTTCTTTTTTCCTTTCCTTTCTTCTTTCCTTCCTTCTTTCTTGCTTTATCACTAGATTGGCTGGATTTTGCTATTGAGGAATTTTTTTAAAAGCTATTAAGAAAAAAATTGATTCAATTTGTAAGGCTTGAAAATCTAAGTTGCATTTCGAACTGGAGAGCACCTTAGCTAGGTCAAAGGTCCACCCCAACATAATTTTTTTCAGCCTATTTGTATGAAACTTTATCCTTGGAGTGCAAGGAATTTTATCAGGTTACTGAAGATCAGTTCTGTGGTGTCTTTCTTCAGGCCTCTGCTTAGAAGTCCCCTCTCTAGAAAGGCCTTTCCTAACTTCTCATCTAAAAAGTTAGCTCCTGGGACACCTGAGTGGCTCAGTCAGTGAAGTGTCTGACTTCAGCTCAGGTCATCCTCTCACATTTCAGGAGTCTGAGACTTGCATCTGATTCTGCGCTGACAGAGAGGAGCCTGATTTGGATTCTCTTTCTCTTCCTCTCACTGCCCCTCCCAGCGTCTCTCTCTCTCTCTCAAAATAAACTTAGGCGGGGGAAAAACACCCAAACATTGGCTACTGGGGAACTTGACTGGCTCAGTTGGGAGAGCATACAACTCTTTATCTTGGGGTTGTGAGTTTGAGCCTCATGTTGTAGGTAGAGTTAATTAAACAAAACAAAACAAAACACCAGCTCCTGTCTCAGCTTTATTTTTTCTGCAAAAAACTGACTACCAACTGATATTCTATTCATATATTTACTTATTTGTTAGTGTTTGGAACAGTGCTTGGCGTGCAGTAGACAATCAGTGACTATTTGTTGAGTAAATGGTGGACTTGTTTGATTTGGCCCCCACCAAATCAAACTAAGATAAAATCAAGTCAAATAAAGATCCAAATCATTATTTCCAATAAAGTTTTCTTCAGGTATATCCTTAAATATCTTCTGCTAGGTGCGTTTGGCTTTCTTCTTCAGGAATAATAGGTTGGCACATATTAGGTCGTCTGTCTTCGACATGTGTCACATTCATTATATTCACCTTCAGAAGCTTTTCCCTTGCATTTAACTTTATTTCCCTACAACTTTCTCTCCTTGGAAATACCCTAAATGATTGGTTTGTTACATTCATTTATTGCTTATGATTTTGTGTTTTAATTTTTCTCTTCTGTGTCTTTTCTTACCTCTGCCCACTTGCTTTTTATAACCCTTTGTTGTCTGTTCCCTAAAACTCCTCTTTGAATCCTTGTAATATCTTCTTTGAGGTGCTTCTCCCCCTTAATTTCAATACAGCCCCAAATTATCTTTTTTCCCCCTTTGCAGTAGTGCTTTCTGTGCCTTTTTTTTCTAAGTCTTCATTTACTTCAAAGTACTAAAGATGTTACTTTATCTTGGGTTATCTGGTGTTTTTTTCTGGTTGTCATTTTTCCCTGAAGAAATGTGGAGCTGTTGCTGAGACATAGAGAGTAGAGCTCATGTCTATAACATGTGATGGCTCTACACCAAAGGGAATGAGGGTCCTTTTCCCTGTTGTTTCTGCTACTATGTTCCTGTGGGCTACTATTTACAAGATGAAAAAACTTAATTTTCCACGGAAAAATGAGTCGGCTTCAGACCTACCTCTTCAGAAACACTTACAGCCAGAAAATAATATGATAATCTTTACACAGTTGTCAGAAAAAGAAAACATAAACCAAGCATTTGTGACCCACATGAGGTGCTCTTCAATTTTAAAGGAAGCTGACAGTTTTAAGCTTTCAAATTTAAGCAATATAATCTTTCTGAGTTTTCCTTAAAACCAACCGGCCAACAAAAGAGTTAAAAAATATACATCCAGAAAGAGGTTAAATAAATCTGGCCCAGTCAGTGCCAAATAAAAGATCTTTGTATTGTAAAAGTCTCCATATACTTCACTGATACTGAGGGAATATATATATATATGAAGTCTATAATAAAATGTATGAAGGGATGCTCAAAAATGTGACCCTTACAACAAATGAATAGAGTTAACATGATACTCTTGTCACCAACATGTATGATGTAATGTGATATAAACGTATGCTTTGTGTATTTACTCTGTATCTTCACTGCTTGATGATTTGGCAACAACCTAACTGAAAACCCTAGGAGTTGGTGCCTGGACCACTGGCAGACTGTCCTGAGAACACTGTATTAAAGTTCATGCGGTCTTAGTCATAGGAACATCAAAGGGAAGACCAGAGCAAAGAGAAATACTCTTTGTGGTAAGGCAAAAACAGGGAGGGGGGAGAGAGAGAAGATGGAAAAGACTATCCACAGGGAATATATAGTACATCCATTGTGATAGTCTTGCCGTTTCTATGCCTCGCTATTATCTCTGCAAAATGACAAGGCGGCGTGTTCTAATCCAGCGCGTCATGATGAACTGCCACAGGAACGATTTACTATATTCCCCTCCTCAAATACAAATTTGAAAAATTACCCGTAATAGTTCCGCTGACGTTGGCCTTTCCTGAGGTATTTTCTGCAAGCAGTAATCAACAAATCTCCTAAAGGAGTCCGTCCTGTATGTGCAAATGCATTGACAGAAAAGAAAATGAGGGTCTGTGGAATACACAGATTACTCAAAATAAGGGAAAATTTTACATTCTAAGAGATTTTTAATAAAATATATGGAATTTTAAGAGAAGTGGACCATTTTCAAGTTTATGGCATCTAGAAATTCATACTTTGGATAATGAATGTGGAGAATTTCAAGTCAGTCAACACATAAACATATCTTCACATACAAGCAAGGTCAAATCATAATTTATATGAGAAAACGGAAAATACTATATTTGTAATATTATAGTTTTATACACATTTTTCTTTCTCAAGATAACAACTCTCCTACGATAACAACTCAAGCCTACATTCTTCACAGCCAGTTGCAACCTCTTCATCAGGCACCACCTGCAACCAGGTAGGAAAACTTGAAGCATGAGGGAAGAGAACTTCGGAATATGCTTTCTGGGTGAAAACACTTCCTTCTCTTGAGAATGCCATTTTGTCCACTCTTCTTTAAAACTGCCCTTCTTCTATAACTCTTGTGGCCCAGTTATCAAAAGGTCATAATTTTCCATATGGAATGATACATCTTCTGACAGATAGTGTATGCTCTGTGTCAACATATTTAAATATACATATAATAAAAGAAATGACAACTGGAAAAACAATGACATCAGAGAAGGTACTTTATCTCTGCTGAGAAGTGATAACAGCTAAGATGATCAATATGAGACTGTCAGGATTTAACATACAAGACTTATTAGGAAGGTAACAGGATGTGTTTCCTGCAGAATTTCAGTTCCTACACACACACAGTTTAAGAACATAGCACAAGTGACAGTGAGGGCAGAAATAAAAAAAGCGTGTGTGTGTGTGTGTGTGTGTGTGTGTGTATGTGTGCGCGCGCGCGCATAACCAGTTCATGCCTACAAAGCATCACCACACTTACTATAACATAAAGGAATGAAATGGTTTCTAGGTCAGATGTTTAAAATGTAATTTAACGGAAGTGCCAAATACATATGGTGATTTCCTTAGAGATTTAAAATGAGGGGAGAGTCTTACCATTCATTAGATTGTAGCATAGGAGAGTCATTCTGGGCAATGTGGTATAAGGCACTCATGGCATTCATGTTGAAAAGGGGGGGCTTCCGTTCCGCTGAAAAAGAAACACGATAAAGTAGTTCTTGAAAGACATCAGGCAGATAGAGAAATAAGGATCTGTGAGCAAAGCTTTGCTGCTAAATCAATGGTTCATTACTGCCATCATGCCACATAATCCACATATTTTCATCTCTAAGGTCAGCCCAGGATAGCCATTCAGAAGAAGCTGCTGGTCATCTTAATGTACATTGGCAAAGCTCCTGATAAGCCCATTTCAAGAGAGACAAGGGAAAATCATTTCTTTTTCACATATCATCAAAACACTGGTCTTCACTTGTGTTTCCACAATAGGTATGAACATCTTCAAGGGTATGTGTTTTAATTTAAAAATACGTATTTACTGGAAATAAAACCCATAAGGCACAGAAAAATAGAATGAGCAAAATTATTATAGAATGGAATGCGTTAAACATTACTAAAGTAGCATGGGAGACAAAGTAATTCAATTCAATAAACACTGTTTGAAGGCTCATCTGGGCCAAATAAATGGTACAGGTGGTGGTGGTGGATGGGATATGGGAGGAAGGGGAAGATAAACAATAAGCAAGGTTTGGTTCACCCATTTTATTTTTATTTATTAAAAATTTTTTAAGTTTATTTATTTTGAGAAAGAGAGAGAGAGTGAGCATGAACACAAGCAGGGGAGGGTCAGAGAGAAGGAGAGACAGAATCCCAAGCAGGCTTTGCACCATTAACACAGAGCCCGACTCAGGGCCTGAACCCATGAACCATGAGATCATGACCTGAGCCAAGATCAAGAGCTAGACACCTAACTGACTGCACGACCCCAGATGCCCCAAGATTCACCCCCTTTTAAAGAGAAACTCAGTGAAATTAGGCATTTCTTAATAGATTTATTCCAACTCAGACCACCATGGTCTCTTTTTGGGAATTTCTACAGCTCTATTTTAGTATACTGCTTATTTGGCATGTGCTCTCTTATTGTGCCTAAATAAACATACAATTCTTTTCTCTCAAAAAAAAAAAATCATTAGCTCTAAGAGCAAGATATTATAACCCTAATACTCCTTAGCTTTTATTTATTCCTCAAGCAACAGGTAATAAAATGTTATTCACATATAAGGTGCTCAGTTTGTTAACCAAAGGAAAGAAACAAGGTTCTAGTTCTAAGTACAGTTAATTTTATATTATTTACTAGTTATTATGCCCTAGAAAATAAATCACAATCTCATTCTATTGTGCTTATCCTAATGGTTTCCTTACACAGTACCCCCCTTGTAATTCATAATATAATTCTCAGGTTTTATCAGAGTAACTAGGTTTTTAAGCAAAGATTCTTCTTTTTTTTTTTAATTTTTTAATGTTTTATTATTTCTGAGAGAGAGAGAGAGACAGACAGACAGACAGACAGTGTGAGCAGGGGAGGATCAGAGAGAGAGGGAGACACAGAGTCTGAAACAGGCTCCAGGCTCTGAGCTGTGAGCAGAGCCTGATGTGGGGCTCAAACCCACGAACCGTGAGATCATGACTTGAGCCCCAAGCAAAGATTCTTCTATTAACCCCTTTTAAAATGGAAAAGAGGGGGGCGCCTGGGTGGCTCAGTCGGTTAAGCGTCCTACTTCGGCTCAGGTCATGATCTCACGGTTTGTGGGTTCGAGCCCTGCATCGGGCTCTGAGCTAGCTCAGAGCCTGGGGCCTGCTTCAGATTCTGTGTCTCCCTTTCTCTCTGACCCTCCCCTGCTCATGCTGTCTCCATCTCTCTCTCAAAAATAAATAAAATATAAAAAAAATAAAATAAAATGGAAAACAGGGCTTATTCTAAATTCTAAGAAACAAGAACTAAAGGCAGAAGTAATATAAAAGACATTTTGACTCACAGAAGGATGAACTTCTGAAAAGCCAGGATAAGAAAAAAAAGAAAGCAACCCTCCCTCCTAAACTTGGAATGAATGATGTTAAGAGTAGTGAACTTTAGGGGCGCCTGGATGGCTTAGTCAGTTAAGCATCCAGCTTCAGCTCAGGTCATGATCTCACTGTTTGTGAGTTCGAGCTTGTGTTGGGTTCTGTGCTGACAACTCAGAGTCTGGAGCCTGCTTATGATTCTGTGTCTCCTCTCTCTTTGCTGCTTTCCCTTCCTTGTACTCTGTCTCTCTGTCTTTCTCTGTCTCTCTCAAAAATAAACAAACATTAAGAAAAAAAAAAAGAGTAGTGAACTTGAAGTCATTGACATTATTCCAGCAGAAGACAACTATGGTTATTCATTCATGATACTTTGGAGGGGCCTCTTTATACTCTTGACTAAATGTTCTCTGATACTTTTAAAATGTAACAGTCTACCATTCTACAAATATTTTTTATTAACCTTTCAACAGGATATTATACACTCATGAAATAGATGCCAGTATTATAGGGGCGTGAACTGTTAAGTAGAAATTTGAAAGTTGTAGTGTGGAGGCACCTGGTTGGGCTCTGTGCCGACAGCTTGGAGCCTGGAGCCTGCTTTGGATTCCTGTCTTCCTCTCGCTCTGCCCATCCCCTGCTCATTCTCGGTCTCTCTCAAAAATAAACAGACATTAAACAAACAAACAAACACGACCCTGGCGACGTCTAGCATTTCATGTGAGAAGTAATGCTTCCCCCTCTTCTCGTGTCATCTTTCGTTTCACTTAGAGAACCAACTTCAGCACCTTTCAACATACTGCTTCCTCTGTCTGGACTCCCCTCTCACTTTCATTCCCTAAAACTTTGGTTAATCCTTGCCAACCTTTCAAGTTTCACCTTAAATATAACTGCATTTTGCATTCATTTCATAAATATTTATTCAAGGCTTATTATATGCTTATAAGCACTTCCGCAGGGAAGCCTTCTCTGACTTCTCAGACTATTAGATTTTCTTACTGCAAATTATGTTTTTCCTTTCCACTACGTACAACCATAATTAACTATTTGTGTAATTCTTTACATAATGTGGGTCCCCTTTGCTAAACTTTACGAGGACAAGGACAACAGCTACTATGTTCATCTTTGCATTCCCAGTGCTAAGAATAGCACCTGGTATCTATTTTTGGTGGTTCAAAAATACCTATAGAATAAATAAATGAAGGTAATGCAAATTAAGGCAAGGAAGAAACCTTGTTAGCAATCTTGGGCAGCAGAAAGTCACAAAAATGACTGAGGAGCGACTAAGTCTTGGGGATTCCATCACAGGCTATGTGATGGCTTTATTCACTGCCAGAAGGATAGGAACTCTCTCACTTAATGGCAAAAAGGTATAAAATTCAAGATGCTCACACGAACACTGAATAGTGCAGGAGAAAGACCCAGGAAGGGGGACTAAAGAAAGAACAGAAATTCCCTCCATCCTTCCTTCCTCCCTCCCTCCCTTCCATAGTTTATAGTCAAGGTGGTTTCCATATAACACCCAGTGCTCATCCCAACAAGTGCCCTCCTCCGTGCTCATCACCCCTTTTCCCCTCTTCCCCACCCCCTTCAGCCCTCAGTTTGTTCTCAGCATTCAAGGATCTCTTACGGCTTGCTTCTCTCCCTCTCCCCAACTATTTTTCCCCTTCTTCTCCCCCATGGGCTTCCGTTAAGTTCCTCCTAATCCACCTATACGTGCAAACATATGGTATCTGTCCAGAAAGAACAGAAATTTAGAAAGAGGATGAAGGAACAAAAACAACAACAAAACCCCATTCAACAGTGACAAGAAAGGCAGTAGCTCAGATTTGAAGCGGGAATGGTGAGGCCATAAGCAGCCAACAGCCTGTTGTGAACAACACAAGATGGCAGCCAGCCACACAATGATAGATTAGCTTTAGTTGTTAGGGGCACATGACCACAGGTACCCTAAGCACAGAACACAGCCCTATGGTCTGAGAAGCATTTGCTAAATACTAGCTTCAAATGGCCTCAGCTATGTTCACATCCTTTGCTACATAAGTCCTCTGGGCCATGGTGACAGGATTCATTGCTGAGCCAGCATACTATAGAGCAAGGGTTGGGAAACTATGGCCTATGGACCAAATTCACCTAGAATCCTGTTTATGTAAAGTTTTATTGAACCACAGCCATGTTCATTTATAAACATACTGTCTATGACTGTTACCATGCTAACAGCGGAGTTGAGTAGTTGCGACAGAGAATGTATGGCCTGCAAAGCCTAAAACACTTATTATCTGGTCCTTTACAGAAAGAGTGTCAAGCCTTACTATAGAATATAATAGTCTTCATACAATCTTCCACATAAGCAGCAAAACAGAAACTAGGAATGCTTTTGAAGCCACCTTGTGATATGTAATTCATATCTTCTCAAAAGAAGGGAAAAGGGTGGAAGCATAAAAAAGGTGAATTAACTAAAAGAAAAAAATAGTGATTTGTATTTGGAGACAAGGATCCAGTTTGTGTGGCAACAGGTTTCTTAGGAACCAATGTGCCTGAAAAACATAATAATTAGTGTTAACAGTAGTTACTACCATTTGCTGAATTCCTACTACATGTCAGGCACTCATTGCTGTCGGTCATAATTTTCACAATAGCTCGGCAAGATAAGCATGGTTACTCCAAGCATTATTTTCCAACTCGATAAACTGAGGTTCAGCTAGCCTAAACAATGAAACTCAGTCACATAGTAAGTGACTAAATTGGGATTTCAACCCATCTTGTAAGCATCCAAGAAATGTGTTATTTTCACTATGTCTCAGTGTCTCTTTGACACCCTTGTGCATTTTATGATAGACTGTACTGGTATTTAAAAAGAAAAAGGTGGGAGGGGTCCTGGCTGGCTTGGTCAGAAGAGCATGTGGCTCTTGATCTCAGGGTTGTGAGTTCGAGCCCCACATTGGATTTGAAGATTACTTAAAAATGGATAAACTTAACTAAATAAATAAACTTTAAAATTAAAAAGAAAAAAAAAAAAAAGCAGCAGCAGCAGCAACAGTTTTAGAAGAATAAATATGCCGGGGCGCCTGGGTGGCTTAGTCGGTTAAGCGTCCGACTTTCGCTTAGGTCATGATCTCGCGGTTCGTGGGTTCG